ATTGTTATAGAAAATGGATCTTCAACTCCAGTTCAGTAAAAGGAAAAATTTCTTCTCGATTTTAAAGATATCATTTTCGTCAAAAATTTATTTTTTTCTTGGTGCTTTCTCATGGATCAAATACAGGGGATTAAATTTCCCCTGCCACCCCCATGTATATTCTATCTGCTTACTTATATTTATGCTCATAAAAGCGGCGATATCGCGAAGGAAATTGAGCCGGCAAGTCTTCGGAACTCGAACAAAGGCCCCCATTCAGGTATTTATCGAGGGATATTTACAAATGGAGGCCCATTGTTACCGGGATCACTTTTCCCGTTTCTCCTGCCGTCGCGGATTTTCCTGCTGCCAAGCACTTCCGAAGCTTTGCTTTGCTTCGTAGAGATCTCTCCAGTTAAATGTAAATAAAAATCGGGGATTTGAGATACTTTCTTTAAAAGCAACTTTTCATTTTTGGGCAGAGTTTAAGTTATGTTCTGCTGAATTTAAAGTTTGTAGATAAGTACTGCGAATTCTGAATTTTTGTTTCAATTTTTTTTATATATAATCTCAAAAAATTTAGAAGGTTTTTCAAATAAATTTCTCTCATTCACAAAGATATCTATAGATATCTTATATGGCACGCCATTTCACTTTTTAATCGTAAATGTTTTAAATGTAAAAGAAAATTAAAGTAGGTGTTTTAAAATTATGGAATATATATTTTTTTATAATTTTAATTATGTCTGACATAATACCTAGTAATTAAATAAAATTATGTCAAGCATATATATATAAATTTAATTCAAATTTAATGAAAACAGATAGGAAAAATAGCTAATTATTATTACGCCTATTATTATAATAGTTATTTAAAATTATTATAATAGTTATTTAAAATTATGTCTATATATATAGCTTATAAGCATAATAATAATTATTTTGTATGATACATTTAATACGCATGTTTTTGTAACATAATTAGTATTTTTTAGTTGAATTAATATTTGCGTCATTTAAATTTGGTCCATTTTTTTTTCGTATAAGGTTCTTAATTTTTTTACTTTAAATTTATATTGGAATTATTGTGAGACTAAAAACATTATTGTAAAAATATTTTTTCAACAAGATTTTTAAACAATTTTATTTTATTCTATTATTTTGCAATTTCTTATTTATAACACAACAATCATTTTTATTTCACAATTAGTTTTATGTATACACATAACTTTAATTATGTGTAAAATTAATAAAATATAAAATTGATTATATAATTTTATCTGTACCTACACATAAAAAAATTTGCGTATCTACACATACAATTAATTATGGTACGACGCTTTACTTTTTGATTGTATAAGAAATGTTAAGTTTAATATTAATGTGTCCCAAAAATATTGCAAACAGAAAAATTGCTTCTTCTGTGCTTGCATGAGGATTAGCGGCCGTTGCTGCTAATACATTAATTTCATTATTTCCACCTGTGACTGTTGCTCAACGAACTCCTTTTTTCGGTTGAACACTCCCGTTTGTAGTAAACTGCTTGACTGTACGGTGAAATGAAGTACGTGATCGATTTTTTCCCGGAAAACGCTGAGCGTAGATATTAACAGCATCATCAAGATTCCTGCCTGCTTCTCCATAAATCAAAATCATTTCTATTTTTTCTTCCACTGTAAAAAAATCTATTATGAATAACTGCTTAAGGAAAGGTCTTTTTGTTTGCAAATTAATCTTCGAACTAAATTGATTAAATAATGCTAAACTATAAATAGTTTCTTTATAAATTAATAATAATTATTATTTATAACTAAATACCATTTTTTTATACCTCAATTAGGATTAAATTAATTAATTGACAAAGTAATATTTTTTATCTCCACGCGGTCTATAATTTAAACTTTATTGTTGTCAACATTCGATAAAGAAATAACTTGTTATGGCCTAGGCCGATAAAAAATTTTATGAGGCAAGTAATTAGTTCGATTTTTTCTCGCTAGGGGTTTTTATTGTTTTGACAAATTAATCCTTTTCTAAGAAATTAACGTACTTAACTGGTTAATTTATTTATAATAAGCACTAATTTGTTTGTTTTACTGTTAATGTTTAATATTTTTTATTAAATTATTGTAAAATTAAATATGAATAATAAAACAAAAAGTGAGGTTAGGCAACCAAGAAAACGCACGATTCTTTTTCTACGATTTAAATTGTCTTTAAGTTTTAATTTGCTTTAAGTTTTCAGTGAAATTAAATGTTAAACACAGCTTAAACATTCCAAACTACCTATTTTTTAAATAAAAATCCAAACAAATTGAAATTAGATACCTACCTATTTATTAAACAATTAATTGAATTCAATGTAATAGCAAAAATCCATTTCTACTTAAATCATGTAGCTAGGTATTGTCAAACTATTACTGCTTCTAAAAGCAATAATAATTATTGTACATTTAATGTAATCTTTAGGTAATAAATAAATGAGATTCTAAAAAAGTAAGGTTAGGCCGCTTTGATGTTGAATTAAATTGATCTATATAAAGTGCTTCGAAGATAAAATGTTGTATACCATTCGGCCAAGAAGGGGCTTTTTGTGCTTCGCTCAATTGGGCTTAGCACAAAAAGCCTTACTTCTTAACCTAATGACATAAATAACTATTTTAACCTTAAATGAGGTATTTTTAAATGAAAGGATTTAATGCTGGCAGGTAAAAAGTGACCATGGTGCGTAATTGATAATTATCACCGAATGAAATAATGTATAAATCTTAAACCAAAGGAAACTTAAATATTAGTTAAAAAATTGTGGGTTCTTAAAAAAATTAGATTTAATTTAATAAGATAATTATTACCGGAAAAAGTGATATTTTTATAGAAAAATTATTGCAGAATCGTATACAGAAGAAAAATCGAACAAAATTGATTTTTATCATTACAGCGCCATCTATTACAAATATTAAAAAAATGTTTTAGACAAAATCTACCTATTTTAGTCGAATGATCCGAATCTGCAATAAAAAATAGGGCGTTCCATTGGAAATTTTAAAGTTACCCCCTGTTCCCCCTATAAGGAGGAGAGTATGAAGACCAATTTTAGTACTGATTGATTTCCCCCCTCGAATCATTTAATTTTTATTTTAAACATTTTTTCGTAAAATGCATACTAACTGAGATATTTAAAAGTTTCAAGTTAACCTGTATAATTCAACATATTAGGGGAAGGTGGGGGAATTCTGCGCATCTAAGCAAAATCTCTAGTATCTTTGTTAAGTTTAAATGTGAAATTTTGCAATTAATACCAGCGATAGTCTACTATGTTTACTATGTGTATATAATGCGCAATTAATAAAAAAAAATGTTTGGTATGCAAAAACTACATTTTTTTAAATAATGCATTTGCGCAAAATTACCCACCTATCAGGGTAATTTTGCGCATCATAGTGGGAAAATTTGCGCTGTTATTATAATAAAACATAAAAATAAAAAAAAACTATTTTCTCTATGAAACAAACAAAACAAACAAAATCAAAAATAAATAACTAAAAATAAAATTTTTCTTCTTAGAAATAAGAGGGTCTACATGCAGCATTTGTCACATATGTAGTTTTAGGGGTTTTTTTTTTCGCTACACTCCGCGTGTGCCCAAATGAAACTGTTTATGCTGAACAATCTAGGCTCCTGTATACCAAAGCTCCCATATTGGCCAAATTTTGCAGCGCAAAATTACCCCAATTTTTCAGCGTAAAATTACCCCCATTGCAAGAAAAATATTGTGATACTAAAAAACTTTCCAAAAGTTAACCTGAACAATTTAAACATACACCAGATTACGAGGAAAGATCATATAAAGTTGTGTTATAAACATTTAAGCGATTGGACAGAAATTTAAACTTAACTCGTAGCGGAAACGACATGGATTTCTTAGAACAACGTACATGTATCACAGTTAGCTAGTGACCATAGTCACTAGCTAAAAGCTACAAGCTTAATTGCGGTACACTTTAGTCCCCGTATACCCAAAGCAACGTTTCCAAGTTTGCAACATTCAAAAAATGTATTATTTACTTCATATCTGGTAGAATTGTTTATGCGTAAAATTACCCACCGCGCAAAATTCCCCCACCTTCCCCTATACATATTTAAAAAAAGAATAAATATAATAAATATACATATTTAGAATTATACCTATAATATATTATATTTCAGTGAAATTTATTTTTTGAAGTATTAATATTAAACTTAATATTTCTTATTCGATTAAAAAGTAAAACGGCGTGCCATAGCTATCAATATCGGCTATTTGACACATAAACAGTGTAGGACCTATTTATTTTCGATATATATCTATCCTAAACTTGAAGTAGCAGTTTACTTCCGAAATATCGATTTTGGCAAGGGAGGAACAACAGCAGCAGCGAGGGCATACAAAAGTGACTAAAATAAATATTTATTTAGAAAATGTGTCCGTGTGTACGAGTGTATGTGACCGATTCCGTTCGGAGAATGCAGCAACGCGCGGCGGTCCACCCCAACTGTTTCTTAAATAAATACACTCCGTAATGGTATTCGAAAAGTACACACATCCACCATTCTGCCCAAACTGTTCGGCCAAACAAATTTACACACAACTAAGAGAAAAAAAGTTGTAATGCATTTTATAGATTTTTATACTTTTTTCAAATTTCCAAGAACCCAAATAAATGTCTAAAACACATTTTTAAAATGTCCCAAAAGTCCTTAGATCCATTTAAGAATTAAGCGTTGAGTTAAATAGGATTTATTTTAGACAAATCACGATGCTTAAAATTGTGGTTTTATTTACACAGGCAAAAATTTGAAATTAAAAAAAATTAATTTCCAAAACAGCAATAATAAACTTATTGGTTTGAATTAAAATGTACTTTAAAATAAAAATTTGGACAAATTATAACTCATTGGTGTAGTATACTGCACAGTATAAAAGAAACAAATGATAATAAAACCTATCGGGATACCATAAACAATTTCTGTTTTTGTTTCAGTTTCGAGGTTAATGGGCGGCACTGCGGGATCAAATATGGGTCATGGTCTAAACACCGGTATGCCCGGACTAGGTGCCTGCGCAGTATCAGACTCAAAACCCATGCAATTTCCACTGGCACAGCGCAGAAAACGACGAGTACTTTTTACACAAGCTCAGGTAAACAATTTTATCCACTCCATCATTGACAAGCCGTGTAAAAAAAATACAAGGGCTGAAGTTTGCAACAGTGTATTATATTAGTTAACACACGGGCTGAAGTTAGCTTTAAGTCACTTTTTACCAATCTGACATCTGTCAAATGGATTTAACCTCACTTTTTGTGAGGTTAAATCCGTTTGACAGATGTAGATTGGTAAAAAGTGAGTTCAAACCGCCTGAAAGTTGGTGGGTATGAAATTCGTTTTACAAGCGTTTTTAATCACTCGTTTATTAAAAACTTGCCTTGCAAGAGGCTCGTTACAAATAATATAAAAATATATTAATTGACCGGTGACTATCTTTATTCCATTTTTGGATATTTTTTCGCAAATTTTGCGTCTCAAACAATATAAAATAAAAAAATATATAACAAAACTACATTTATTCTTTAAAATGTTCTTTACGACACATAATAATGCTTCTTTGGACAACATGTATTTGCAAAATTTAAAACCATTTAAAGTCTTGTCGAATGAGCGTATTTCACATTTTTAGTAATATCTCTGTAAATATTTATTTTAGCTAGGTCAACTTTCCAAACCTTATTGTTCATTGATAGAACTTGAGTTTACAAAGTTGATTTAAAATTATTTAATATTATTATTTTTATTATTTATATTTAAAATATGAATTTTGTTGTACCTATATATAATCAACACTGCTCAACAATTGAAGAATTTTAAAATAGTCAGCCTAAATATTAAAAAAAAAAACATTAAATATTAATTTACTGATGGACGTAATGATACAAGAAAATAAATCAAAAGCACATTTATTAAATTTAAAGTAATCTGTAATTAAAGTAACAAATACAAATACACTGCGCGTCAAAATTAACGCATAAAAATAAAAATACAATAATTTTTCATCTGGCAACATTGCTATTAATCTAAAAATGTAAATTTGTTATATTTGCTATTTAAAATTTTTGAATAGAGTCAATATTCCTACACCCTGAATTTCCAGAGATTTTTTAAATTTAAATTAATTTCAAAAAATTATAATTACTAGACCCTATCTCACCCATCTCAAATAGACCAGGCGAAAAGGTTCACCTGTAGAAAATTTTTGAAAAATGGTCAGAAAGATCGATTTTTTTACGAGTGACGTTTTTTCTTGAAAATGCCGATAACTTGGCCAAAAATGTTTTGATCGTTACAATTTTACGAAGGCGTAGAAGGGCCAACAACAATATTTTTTTTTTTATAAAATTTTTAATCGACAATTGTCGATCGGACCGACAATTGTCGATCGGACCGACAATTGTCGATCGGACCGACAATTGTCGATCGGACCGACAATTGTCGATCGGACCGACAATTGTCGATCGGACCGACAATTGTCGATCGGACCGACAATTGTCGATCGGACCGACAATTGTCGATCGGATCGACAATTGTCGATCGGATCGACAATTGTCGATTGGACCGACAATTGTCGATCGGACCGACAATTGTCGATCGGATCGACAATTGTCGATCCGATCGACAATTGTATATATACAGGGTGTTTTACATTCGTGGCCCATTAAAAGTTTCTGGGAAACGAAAAAAGATATCGATTTGAAATTTTAAAAGCGTTTATAATCCATTTAAGTCTATTTTTCTATAATAATTTGAACAAAATGCCACTTCCGGTTAAACCAGATCAACTTAAATATTATTAATATTATTTTAAAAAATTTCGAATTATTAATATTTAAACACTTAATTAGTTAACAAATTGTTTATAACAACCTGAAAAATTGACGCGATTAAATTTTACAAATTACGTGGTAACCATAGAAACCAGTCTCTGATAGAAACCGTCAACTCACCCGTCACAGGTTTCGTGATACAAAATATTATTTAAAATTTTAAAAACTGTTTAATAGGTATCTCCAAAATTATTAACTTTAGGTATAGAGAATGGTAACATCAATCGAGTTTTTTAATTTACTATTTGAATATGTAAAAACATACAAAGTGTTACATTTGAAATAAAAAAAGTTATTAGCCTTCAATTTGGCCTAATTTTTTTAAGATTCCAAAAATTCAAACCCTATATTTGCAAACCTCATAACAAAAAAGTTATAGGCTATTTTTGATTGACGCGCATTTCTTAAATTTTAACGAAAAATAATAATAATTCAAAAAATATTCACTTCAAATTTCAAATCAATATCTTTTTCGTTTCCCAGAAACTCGATTAATGTTACCATTCTCTATACCTAAAGTTAATAATTTTGGAGATACCTATTAAACAGTTTTTAAAATTTTAAATAATATTTTGTATCACGAAACCTGTGACGGGTGAGTTGAAGGTTTCTATCAGAGACTGGTTTCTATGGTTACCACGTAATTTGTAAAATTTAATCGCGTCAATTTTTCAGGTTGTTATAAACAATTTGTTAACTAATTAAGTGTTTAAAAATTAATAATTCGAAAATTTTTAAAATAATATTAATAATATTTAAGTTGATTTGGTTTAACCGGAAGTGGCATTTTGTTCAAATTATTATAGAAAAATAGACTTAAATGGATTATAAACGCTTTTAAAATTTCAAATCGATATCTTTTTTCGTTTCCCAGAAACTTTTAATGGGCCACGAATGTGAAACACCCTGTATATATACAATTGTCGATCGGACCGACAATTGTCGATTCGATCGACAATTGTCGATCCGATCGACAATTGTCGGTCCGATCGACAATTGTCGATCCGATCGACAATTGTCGATCCGATCGACAATTGTCGGTCCGATCGACAATTGTCGGTCCGATCGACAATTGTCGATTAAAAATTTTATAAAAAAAAAAATATTGTTGTTGGCCCTTCTACGCCTTCGTACAATTTTGTTTAAAATTGAAAAAAAAATTTAAGTTGTTATTTCTAAAAAAGGCAAACCAAAATTGAGGTTTTTTAATAAAAATTCTAGTAAATTCATGGCTCATCGCAAAAATTTGGTATTTTATCTATGGTCATGAAACTATATAAATTGTAATTTAGAAATTTTTGACATATTTAACATAAGCTGGGTCCTGAAGTATTTATACTCGATTTATACTAGGGTTTTAAAGTGTCGAAAAAAAATAAAAAAATTGAAAAAAACCAGGCCTTTAAAAAATGTCTTTTGGGAAAACTTGTTTTTTTTTTAAATATACAGGGTGTTATGTAATTAATGTTATATATTAAAATACTGAATACCTTTTGACATAAGGAGTAAATGAAAAATATTTAAAAAAATATTTTTCCAAAGATAAAGAAAAAATATGCATTAGAAGTTTTTTATATTTTTTGTGATACGCCACTGGTTACACACTTGGTTTACCTCTGCACACTTGTGTTCTGTGAGTACATAGATACCAACAAAGTAGCTGCGTGTTGCCAGATGTAAAAAATTGTTACTAAAAATTTTTCTTACAAAAAATAAATAAAAACTCAATAAATACAAAAGTTTTATGCCCTTAAAGCTCTAATACCCTTTTGTATTTATTTAATCATCCAGCTAATAGCTTAAGCAATGGTTAGAAAATTTAGTACCTATTTTAAAAAATCCATAACCACAAGATTAGTTTTTTCATCGGTTTTTTTCTTTCTGTTTACTCAGATGAAATTGGGACCAGTTAACAGGTTAAACTTTAAACATATAATTTGTGTAAATAAATCCAAAAGCACTTCCCTTAGTTAAGATATTTACAATTTGAGCACATAACCTAAAATTTGAAAGAAATGCACTAGATTCTGTCATAAAAGTTGTCAAATTTTGTTTGAATTTACCTTCAGTACAAAAATGACATAACCAACAATTAATAAAAACGCCAAATTGACAATTTCCATTGTAAATTTTGTCATTTTTGTAATTAAGCTAAATTTAAACAATGTTTGTCAACTTTTTTGACAGAATCTGGTTGTTACCAACCATAACATAATAAATTAAATTAGGCAACCAGACTAGTCTAAAGTTCCTAGTCGATCAGTGGCGTACTTTTTGGTAGGATAAAGGTTATTATAAATTAATTTTAGTCTTTGGAATTTAGAAAAAAAAAGTTTCAGGTGCTTCTTTATGGACCCTAAGGAACAACCCATTTTAATATATAACATTAATTACATAACACCCTGTATATGTACATTTGAAAAAAGAAGCAATCAACAACTTAACATTAATTTAATTTAAAAAATATAAAACTAAACATTGAATTAAATTAAATAGACTTAAGAAAATTATATTATGATTATATTCAGCGTCGGAAATTCTCTTTTTTCTCGATCAGTGTACGGATAGTACCTACATACCTATCTGTAAATATTTGTAAATTTTTGTAAATTGACTTTTGCATTTTTTCGTATGGGGTGGGGACCGCCCCCCTTAGTCCGCCACTGTGTAGAACACAAACAATTCCAAAAAATTTTGGTCGGTTAACAGATATGAGTGAGGCAGTCGCGAAACAACTGTTATTTTGATTATGTTATTTTTACTATAAAGTTTATATTTTACTCTTGCAAAGTCAAAATTCCAGTAAAACATAAAAATAGTACAAGTACCTACACAACATTAGTTTCCATGTCAATGTCAGAAAGTAAAATATTAATTAATTTGGAATTTAGTAGTAGTAGAAATTTTTAATTGATAACATTCCAAAATCACGTTGGGTATTCAATATTTAACGTTAATACAACATTACTTTTCCATTAATTAATTAAATCACCCCCCCTACTACAAAATCGAAACCAGATAGAGACACAGAAATCACAGTAACCTCGTCGGAACAAAATCGAAACAACCGCGCCGAAACATCGCAGTAGGCGTGCCGCTCTGATCCCTGCGCGCGCACTTCGAAGCTTCGAAGCTGCGTGAAGTGTTTTAGGGGGCGTGGCCGGCCTTCCCCCCTGGCCCGACGTACGCGTCCAATCGCGAGCGCCAGGTTTCCTACCTTCGACGCGTGGAATTACGATCCTCGCTCGGTTTTCGGTTACGCTGCCGCAACGTTTCGTTTTTGACCCGTTCGGTTTTTTTTGCTCCTCGCTAAAAACCGCCGCGGGCCTGGGTACGAGAGATTTGTGTGAAATGGGCGACGGGAAAGTTGTGGAGATGGGGATGATGTAAGTTTTGTTTTTTTTATTTTATTTTTGATACCTACTAGTTTTAAATCTTGTCTCAGGTCAGAAACATTTTAATGTCAAACAAAAAATAAATTGATTCAAATACGTTCGATTTTGTTTTTCAATTACGCACATTTTCATATTTTTTGCCATTTTTGAATCTCTGACGTAGGTAATCGGCAACTTTTTGAAATTTTAACCCCCTATTTTTTTGGAGATTCAAATACATTATGAAATTGTGATTTCAGCAATGTGCACATTCGGGGATATTAAATATTAAAAGTGAAAATTTTTTAGTTTTTAATAATTTTTTGATATTTTATACTTTTAGTGTTTATAGAAAAAATGTTCATAAACTTTCTCAAAATATTTCATTTCAAGGTCAACTTTTTCAGTTTATTATTTTTTTTTTATTCTGCAAATAGCAAGTGTCGATGTATATATGGGAGTTTTTTATTTTATACTTATTTCTTTGTTAGCATATCATTTATTCATCACTAGATGTAAAAACATTAGTTACACCTTCTATGGAACGCTTATGGTAGCAGAAATTATTTATCCGGGTATATAATTAAATTGTAAACATTTTTTAGTTGATAATTTATCTGAATTAAAGCCTAATATTTTTAATTCTAAAGAAAAAGTTGCGTGACAATTTTTAAATACCACAAACCAATATATTGAACATGTTTTTTAATGGAATCTTTTTTAATTCAAAGTGATATTTTTAATTTGAATTATTTGGACAGCCCTAAAAAATTAACATCTTATTAAATAAAATGTATTTTTTCTAATCCATATTATTTTCTAATATCAAAAATTAATTTGCGATATTGAAAATTAATTTTTGATATCGCAATTTAATTTTCGATAGGTATCGCAAATTAATTTCTGATAGCGATATTGAAAATGTCTTAAAAAAATAAACAACTTATTAAATATAAAATATATTTTTTCTAATCCATATTATTTGTAATTCAAACAATTAAGAAATAACAATAAAATTTTAAGTTTATTTAAATTAATAATAATAATAATGCTTTATTGAACTAAAACCAAGTTCAAAGGCTATTGACCGTAGTCCTTCAGCCGTATTTAAATTATTTATCCGGGTATATAATTAAATTGTAACATTTTTCAGTTGAAAATTTATCTGAATTCTAAATATATTGAACATGTTTTTAATGGAATCTTTTTTTTAATTCGTCAATAAATCGATATTTTTAATTCAAATTATTTGGACAGCCCTAAAAAATTAACAACTTATTAAATAAAATGCATTTTTTATAATCCATATTATTTTTAATTCGTACTATAAATTAAAAAATAACATTAAAATTTTGGGTTTATTTAAGTGGTATATAATTAAGTTGTAAACATTTTTCAGTTGATAATTCTTCTGAATTCTTAAGTAAGCATAATAATATTTTTAATTCTGAATAAAAAGTTTCGTGACAATTTTGTAATACCATACACAAATACCTATGGGGCCGTCCTTTAATCACGTGAGGTGTTTTTAGCCACTTTTTTACCCCCCCCTCCCCCCTGGTGATGCGTTGTGAGGTTTTAGGCTACCCCTCCCCCCCATTCAATATCACGTGTTTTTTTTAATATTACGGAAAATATTTTCTTATTAAAAAATATTTTGTGTATTTAAAAAAATATTTTTTTATTGGAAAAATATTATGGAAATAGTATATTACAATACAAGAGTTTATCGAGACGCGTATGTTTCTTTATTTATAATTGTGTTAAAAATTATATTTTTAAGTTTTTAAATTTAAATAAAGAATGCAAATTATAAACTAACATTTTAATTTAACAAACATTAATTTTAATTAAACAATCATTTTAATTTCATTTATTTTAGTGAAATAATTAAAAATATCAAAAAACAATTTAATTTTAAGTTAGAATTTCTAACACAATAATGCATGTGCTGCAGCGAATTATTTTTATTGTTGAATTAAATTGTTAGCTGAATTAAAATGTTTGTTGAAAATTATTTTTACTAATAGTAATGGAATGAAAATGATTGTTAATTAAATTACTAACAATTAAAATGTTTGTTGATAAATTTTATGTGCTCGCAAAACTTGTGCGGCACAACAATAATATTCTATATAATATGGTATTAAATAGTATTAAATATAATTAAAAAATGGGAGTGAAAAAAATACAATTAAAAAAGGATTTTAATAAAAATGAATAAAAATTTAAATTAAAAAAATGGAAAAAAAATAATAAAAATTAAAAATAAATAAAAATTAAATTAATACACGTGATTGTCCCAATATACCCTCCCCCCCTCATGGTGATCAATCGTGATGTTATTCTAGCCCCCTCCCCCCCTGTTTGAACCTCACGTGATTAAAGGACGGCCCCTATATTGAATATGTTTTTTAATGGAATCTTTTTTTTAATTCGCCAATAAATCGATATTTTTAAATCAAAGTGATATTTTTAATTCGAATGATTTGGACAGACCTACTTAGAAGGTTGCCTACAAAGGTTGCACATGATGTATGTAGGCAACCTTCTAAGTAGGGCTGTCCAAATCATTCGAATTAAAAATATCACTTTGATTTAAAAAATATTGATTTATTGGCGAATTAAAAAAAAATGTTTAAATTAAAAAGAATATCAAAACAAATTAAAATCAGTGGCGTGCCATATTTCTTTTTAAAATTAACAGCTAAGATGCATCCGGGACAACACTGGAATAAATAAATTACAACAAAAGCTTTCCATCATCTTTTTAAGTTAGCACACAAAGTTTAAAAAAAATCGAATTAAGCGTTTCTATATACATATTAAGAAAAACTTATTTGTATCCAAAGAATCTGGTCCTCAATTTTTTCGCAATATTATTGAATCCTGTATATAATACTTTTGATAAAATATCACAAAAAGCCTTTGATGTCCTGGGTAAATCGTTAATGCATTTCATAAACATGCCTGGTCTTAAAACAGACCCTTGAGGTACACCATAACTAATTTTGTATGTTATGCTCTGTCCCAAATTAATCCTAACGTTAATTGAGTTAAAATAATTTTTCAGGTTAAAACCAAAATTTGTTATTTGTATTTTTAAGATTAACATGTTTTTTTTTCAGGTTTACGAACTGGAGAGGCGGTTTAAACAGCAAAAATACTTATCAGCCCCCGAAAGAGAACATTTGGCCTCCTTAATCCATCTCACCCCCACCCAAGTAAGTGTGTTTTAATTTTTAATTTGGACCATGCAACTAAACTGAAATATAAAATCACACAACATTCAATTTCTCAGTTATCCCCTTCTGACACCATCTACTCTAGAGAATATAATAATAATCCCGTCACTTAATATTTGCCAGTTGATGTGTCAGACACAATCGCTCCTGCATTGTTCGCCTAAACGTCGGTTAATTAACATAAGCTCCGGCTTAATGGCGATTTAATTCCGGTGTAAAGCGAGCTTTAACGTATAATCCGGGATTATGACGCTCGAAATGTCAACACGAGATAGATCCCGGGCCGGGTGGAACCGTTATGTAACCTTGGATGGTGGAGTCAGTCGGGGGTGCAAATATTGAATTTGGGAAAATTTAATAAACGCGAGATATCGTTGGGGTGGGGCATTGTCAAATTCAACGCCGACGGCTGTGGTTGGTGTTTGTTTAGGAAATTTTAAGCGAATTTACTTAATTATCGTTTAGGGTTATACTCTGTATACCCTCATAATAACAATAAGTAAAGAAATAAATACAATTATATACCTACATACATATATATATATATAAAAAACAATAAAAAATCATACCTACACAGTAAAAAATTTATATATATATTTAACATATTTTTTGTGTCCCAGAAAATCCACTAAATTTTTTTAGTTTTTTTGATTTTTATTACTTATGTTAATTTTTAACAAATCGTGTTGTGTCAATTTTATTTTTTTTAATGGTTATTTTAACCTAAACTTACTTTAACATATAACTTTCTATTGATTTTACACAAATAGTATGTCTTCTTTTAATAATTTTAATTTGTTATTTTACCAATATTTTTTAATAAATTTTTACATTATTAATTGTATATTTTTATTTATTTTAATAAAATATTATTAGAATATTGGTTTTTGGGTAAAAAATAAAACATGTAAGTATGTAATAATAATGATTTATTATACTACAACATAATTTTAAAAAGCATTGGAATTCACTAAAGCTGCACAGTCCAGTCCTTTTTTTTGTATTCCAAAATAAAATACAAATCCATGCCATAGGGTAAACGGTCTTCAAACATAAATTTTGTTAAACACACGCTATATAAAAGCACACTAAACCTCTAATCGAATTAACTATCATAAACCGACTAAACGCAGTTAGAAGACAAAGGGCCTTGCAGGGGTACCGATTTTATGCGAAAGAAGGCGAAAATTAGCGAATTAGAAAGAATAACATTTATATTTAAGTTAAATTGAGTACAAAAATACTTAATTATTTTAATTTCATTAAAAATTTTCTGTACTCAAATATTTAACAAATATTTTTGAGTTATTATAATTATTATTATTATAATTTTTGTATCAAGTAAAATATATCATTTATGTTATAAACACTAGGAAATTTTTTTATTTAACACGCATTATTTTTAACACAAATTTTATAAATTTTTAACTGTGTAAGAATTCATCAAAACTAAATGAGTTTAGAGTATCCTAAACCACTTTAAAAATTTGTTTAAAATAATTTTTAAGAAAGGCTAGGAATTTTGTGAAAAAAATAATTTTTTCAGAATTTTACAATATTTTTCTTTGCCATTTTAGTAGTAATTTTAAAATATATAGTTGTACAAATGTTGTTAAAAATGCTATAATTATCCACTGGGTAGCTCAAAGTTAATACCGTAATAGGTATTTACCTAAGTAGTGCGGAAAGTGCCACTTTTCCGCACGCGACTGCCGCTGAACGAGTGGGAAAAGTCACTTTCCGCGCGTGTTAGATACGATATTTTTTCTACCTTCTACCATTTTCATCATAAACATTTTTACTTTCCGCACTGTCAAGCGTGCGAACAGTAATTGTGCGTGCGGAAAAGTGCAACTTTCCGCACAGTTATGTTGCGTGCGGAAAGTAGCAACTTTCCGCACGCTTGAGGAAAAATGTTGTAAAACCGTATTGTAATTATTTAAAATGTCTAAAATTTACTAACACCGTCCAAAAGTTGTCTCCCTAAAAGTGTTCCGTTTTTTTCATACAATTTGTAGGAATTTGACACAAACTGTAGAATAAAAATTTTGACATTTAAATAAAAAAAAATTGGTTAAAAAAATTACTATAAAACTAAGAAATTGAAAAATATTACAAACTTTATCCCTCAGAAAATTAACGAAATTCTAGCATAATTTTATAGGAGCTTTTGCAAAAAAAATAGTTAAACTTGGTTTGGTTGACAGATGTATTTTCAGACATTTGTGTAATTTTTTTTTAAAATACTTTAATTTGTTATAACTTTGTTATTATAAATCTTATCTTTTTATTTTCAAAACATTACAAGAAATTTGGGTTATTTTAAGTAGTTTTTGAGTTTTAAGGTTTTCTAGTTTTATTATCTAATTTTATTTTTATATGTTAAAGTAGGTATTAATTTTTTTTTAAATAACAGAAAATAAAAAACAATTTTCTACACAGGTTTCAAAAATAAAAAATTAAAATTACATTTTCAATTTGTATACCATAATAAGCTGAAGAAGCATCGGGTTTTCATAACACGCGCGCCATCTGGTGGAGCTCGATAGCATTGGCATACTAAAAATCAAGTTATGCAACCCACTGACTTTAACGGCGGTCATTTTTATCAATTCTTGTGCTTCGGATTTGTGCTGTTTATACAGATTAATAATCGTTTTAAATGTTGTGTTTCTTACAGAGGCACTTAAAGTGCTTTACTTCTCTTTCGTAAAAAATAAACCTTATTTTATCAGGGCTGTCATCAAACTATCAAATGAAAATGTTAAGGTTTGCATGAAAAGAAAAAATTAAAAAAAATAAAAATCTTAAAATAAACAAATAAAAAGGCTTCTTTTTTAAAAACGATTCGAGTTTTTCTTTAAGTCTTAAGAAATTTATGTTCTCTTTTAATTTGTTGATTTTTTTACTTTTTTCAGTCGGGAAATGAATTCATTTCCCGACTGAAAAAAGTAAAAAAATCAACAAACTAAAAGAGAACATAAATTTAGAATCATCAAAAAATGTTGTCCAGTCTATATTTGGTGCAAACATGTCATTGAATTTTTTTTATAGATTTAATTTTGTAGGCCTTTACAATTTTTCAAAACGGTACGAAGTTAATTGAGGTTTTAACATTTGTGTTTTATAAAAAAAATCTACAAAAAAATTCCATAAAAAATGGTCTTTATTCTTGCTTATAAAAAAATATCTCCATGTGCACAGGTATGAATTCGATTCAACTTATTATATTATTATGGTTTCGTTTCTATCTGAAATCTCGACAGCCTTTAAATTACGTGAGAACAATCTTGACCTGTCAAGATCACAGTTCGTTAGCCACTCGAAAGGGGGCCGAGGCCTTCTCGTGATTTCGTGATTGCGGGTGCAATGTTCATACGCTCGGTCGGATCCATTCACTCGCCCCCGTAGGCACACAACAAGTGCCGCTGCGGTTATTTCGATTTTCCGATCTGGTAATTGGGACGAGTTCAATGGGTGGAAGTTTTCTTTACCTTTCGACGGCTATTGCTACTGCTATTTTTGATGGCCGGGTACCATTGTGACCGACGAGGAAGTGCACGTCGTTAAAATCAAACTTTGTAAGGGTTGATTTGGATCTAATATAGTTGCTTTTAATGTACGATTTGCTTGCCCATGTAAATATATTTAATAAATGCGACATATTCAGTAAAGAGTCATACCTAATACATATTAGGGTGGAGCGAAAAAAATTTTTTTTCCCTTTGTCTGGGGGTGGAATTTGTAGCCTATAAAAAAAGAAAATTTTTGAAAAAAAAAATTTTTTTACTCAACGTCTTGAGGTGGCCCACTGATTTTTTAAATTAAATTTAAGTTAAAATTCTTTTGAATAAAAAAAAATTTTGGCTTGTAATCTTCAAATTTATCTAAAAATAAACAAATTTGATCGTGTTCAACTCGAAATTCGCTCTATTGCCTTAGAAAAGCATGTTACTATTTTGAAATTTTTTTAAAAACAACAATAATGACTACAAATTTTTTTTTAAGTTCATAACTGTTAATTAGCAAGAAAGAGGACACTCCGCACTTTTGAAAAAATTTTTACGACCACTCGTTTTTAACTTAAATTTAATTTCAAGACGTTGAGTAAAAATTTTTTTTTTTTTTCAAAAATTTTCTTTTTTTATAGGCTACAAATTCCACCCCCAGGCTAAGGAAAAAAAAATTTTTTTTCGCTCCACCCTAATACATATAATATAATAATTACATCAAGACATTGTTCACAAGAAGAGTAGTGGGTTAACTGAACATAGAAAAAAACTAAATTTAATATTAATACAATTTGGCGGAGTTAGGAGGGGGCATGGGGGCCTAAGTAACCCCGAAAATAAAATTAGCACCCCCAACATGTTATGAATTTTCTTTTTGTACATTATTATAAATAAATTCAGGAATTTTTCTTGCAAACAATACATAATTCAAATGTTTATTATAATTTTGTCAAAACATATTTGTAATGGTGCCATCCATTGAGTTATTAAAACGCCCAATGGAAAGTGACTATTCAAGAAGTTGTTAGAATACCATCTGTTGGCGTATTAGAAAAGTTTAATTGGATCGCAATGTGTATAGAACAAGTCAATAAACATTCATATTACAAAATATACAAGAAAAAAAATATAGGACAATTAAAATTAATACTGTAAAAATCATTAGATGTTCGCACGTTACTTTGGTGGTAAGATTTTTGTTTTTTGTTAAGAGCAGAGCTGTGTTTAAATTACAATAAAAAATATTTCTAAAAAGTGTACAGATCAGTGTGTGGTATAAATGGTTGAAACATTGTCACTTTATTGCGTTTTATTTTTAATTCTGAAAACAAACAGTAAAATGGCCAGTGTCCAATTACTGGTTGGTAAAAAATGTAAATTTCTATTATTGGACATATGTCCATAATCATACTCTATTTTTATCCCGGACATTTACCAGCCAATTCTTATGTAAAATTGTCCCCTGAA